AGTACTTTAGTGGAGTATATTTACTGCTTTTTAATTATACAGAATAAATTTCACCATGTATGGCAGTCTTCACGAAAACTCACTGGTCCGAAGACCGAGGCCAGTGAATTTTGAGGTCGGGTCAGTGAAAATCAAAATTCAAAAAGTCCGATGGGCTTGTTGATCATAAAAATCATACAGTCAAAATTTATTTCAACTGACTCTCTTGCATAAATTTCATTAATATATAAAATAGAAAGAAGAAGCTTGTGTTGTTGAATCCTATTATTATAACCCTATTATAACATGGATGTATTACGTAACAACCGGAAGTAGCTAGTAATCATTAACTAGTACGTAAAATGTGCAAAGTTCAAACGAACAACTTACCGAAACGCGACAAAGGGCGAAAAATGGCGGCATTTCAAAAGTTGAAGTACGTAAACATGTATAAATTTACAGTTATGAAAATGTATTTATTTTCTTTTTTTATGAAAGGGACCAGTAAAAATTTTGGTGGGCTAGTATATTTTGAAAGTTCAATGGTCCGACTGGCCAGTTAGTTTGAAAAGTTTTCGTGAAGACTGGTATGGCATGCCTAAATATCAGATAAAAACTATTAGATCATTACCTAATCCTGTAGTTTCTAAATCAAATAAGATAAGTGTATGATTTTCAACATCAACTGTTTCCATCTGTGGCCTTGGGCATGGGACTGGAATTTCTGTAATGATGTTATCTTGCTGAGGACCTAACCCTATTCCAGATTCATATGTGGATCCTTCATGAATTTCTTTTCTAGTTGTACTCAAGGATCTTTAAGAATTGAGAATAAATGCTTAGTCTAATATAAAGTCATGTATTGCAATAAACCAAACTGATTACCAGAATCATTCATGTGAGGTTATTTTACATTACCTCCTGGCCTTCAGCTCACGCCTTCTTCTCTTGGCCTCCTTAGTTTTGGCGATCGCCTTTCTCTTCCTGGTCTGGGATTCCCTGAGGTAGCACAACTTTCTCGTAAACCTTCCTGGAGATAACCCGATCTTTTTGTTTACCTATTACAACAAAAAAAACATTAAACATTTATAAGAGAGAATGTTAATTACAAAAATTGCTTGTACACATTTATTATATTATGACTTAAAAAATTAATGATTATTATTATTATTATTATTATTATTTTTTTTTTTTTTTTTTTTTTAATATGAATTTACAAACAACCGGTATATATAATATACTCACAGCAACAAGATAAGATGCTCCGGAGTTTTTTTCTGCCACAGATGCTGCTACTCTGTAGTTTAAGCTAGCTGAGCTGCTAAAGTAGTGGTTTTTCGGAGCTTTCAGTGACACAGTCCTATTGAAGGACTCATTTGGTTGGGTGCTTCCCAGACTGGAAATCTTACAGCTGTTCTGCTTCCATTGGTTGCATAACGAATGTAGAGAATCTTGAAGGGCCGAGTCTTTTAATGGCTTTCCATAAGGCAAGGAAGTGTACCTTTAATTTATTTTGAACATAAATTGAATCAATTAAATCAGGATTAAGAAGTGTAAAAAATAAAGCTTGCACAAAATAAGATAAATGTTTATAAGTATATTAATTTGTTCAAATTGATTGTGAATTACATCCTAGTTATTGTGCATGTACTTAATTTGATGTATTCAAAGTATATAGTGCAGTCACTGGGTATGGAGTTATTATTCATGAATTCGCACTACTTATATCCGTGCAGTTTTTTGTATATTTCAATGATTTCTTAGCAGTTTATATATTCATGAATTAGCGCATCATTGTCTGCGCCATACCCGCTTAAATATGAAGCCTGCTTTTTTTAGTACACATACAGTATGTCAGACAAATTAGTCATATTTATGATTATTCTACCTTTGCTTCGGATTGTTGACATGCTGACACCAGGAATCGCTGCATGACTCATGGTTTCCGAAAGGGTGGTTACAGAGGGCATCAAGCGCTTTTTCTATTCCTTTTGGGTTTCCCTGGTTTTGTGCTAGTAAATAATTAAAGCATTTTTGAAGATAGCGGATAACCTTTGAAGACAGTGACTTGTGCTTTTTCTGCAAAGCATATAGACTTGAGGAAAAATTTTTCCTAATGTGGTTCTTGTCACACTTTTTTTTAATATCTGGGTTCACACTCTTTTTCAGGCGAGAAATGGTGGTGGTGTCATCATCAGCTATAACAGTGGACACCTTCACTCCTTTGTCCAGTTTTTTCTCCACCATACTAATTACCATGCTTGGTTCCATAGATTTAGAACTTCCTAAAAAATCAAAAACAAATTTAAAAACTGATTTTTAAAATTTAACAAACTAAAAAACCTTTATATATAAGACCAATTTTACATTTGAAAATTAAATTCAAATATGTACATGTCCATTTCTCAGTTTCAAAAATTGCTATAATTTAGCAGTTCAGTAAGTGTTCATTCATTCTATTCTAAAAAAAAACCCCACATACATAGATATAAAGATAAGAATTATTAATACCATTTTGGGGCCCATCAAGACATATAAGTAAAGAGAAATACATACAAGAAGAAATTGATAGCAGCAATATGTAGACATACATATAAATCAAAAGATGACAATTAAAACCTATTCTTAACTTCAAATTTAAACCACTCATTTCAATTGAATTATCTGATACCTTGCCAATTCTGTCTGCAGTCATGCTCCTTGGCTTCTTTCCCACTTCGTTTGGCACTTTCACAGATCCTGCATGTCTTGCTACGAACTTCATAGCCAATTATTTTGCCAGTGTGCTCACCAATCATTGAGCAGTGTCCTTCAATTAAAATGAAAAGGAGTAAAGGTAAAATTATTACTTTGACCTCTCATATCATGTGAGTTGCAGAAATTACACTCTGACAGCTAGTTTTACTTACCCGATAAGCTATCGAATGAGTGACCACTACCCCTCTTCTGCCATCCAGCATCAACACTCACTGTTAATTCTTCAGTTCCTTCAGTTCTGAAAAATAAATTTATGTCTTTTTTTTTTGTTTTATTTTAATTATTTTATTGATATTACTATATTACTCCTATTTTTATAACTCCTATTATTATTACTCCTATTATTAATACAAATTATTTTGAAATACTGATTATGATAAAATGCAAAAAGTAGTTTTGTGAGGAAATACTGAAATCGGTATTGTGTCATGTATTGATACACCATCACTTTTTATAGATGTATACATGTAATACATTAAACAATGTACTCACTCAACTGTTGCTTGAATTTCATCTTGTAAGACCTGATGGATGGTGTCTTCAGCAACTTTTTCAATGGCCAGCCCTGTCTCTGTTTGTCTATTCTGGATGGTCTTTGTACTCACAGCAGGGATGTTTAAAGATGTTAACAGGTCATTTACTTGAGCTGGGCCAATGCCAGTATGGATCATTCCTATTGGATTGTAAAAAAAAAATTGTTACTTGTTAATGAAAATCAATTTATTAAATTTGGAAACATACTATTAAATTGCATGCAACATTCATACCTGTAGCTAATTTAGTATTTGCATCCCATATGCGACCATGGCGTTTTCCAGTTGGAATCACATTAACATGTCCACACCATAAATTTCTACAGCGAACCTGAAGAAAGCTTCCTAAGCCACAATCACGTATTCCTTGGGTGTGAGACAACTGAAGTGGCAATCCACACTGTTTACATCCAGACAATCCGTCGGCCAGAACCCCAAGCTCCACCACCCTCCTTCCTTCTCTCCATGATGAATCATAGCTAACATAAAAATTTACATATCTAATAAATCTGTTTATATTAGGCTTAATGAATTACAAAATTCAATATCTACAAGATTTCAATTCACTAGTTCAGTACTATAGCTAGGCCTATAATAAATATCATTTAGAATTTGCACAGAATTTAAAAATCATAACCAATTCAAATCAATTTTAAAAAAATTGGAATTTACTTTTAAAAAATTATACATAATTATGTGCATTTGTTTGAATGCATTGTTTTCAGCTGCAGGTTCAGAGTTTACATGTTACACACACCTTTTTATACACATATTAGGCCAGTACTAAGGCTTATTTGTAGTAGGACTTACATGTACATCTACATGTATTAGATACAAGCTCTGATATAATGCATCACAGCAGCATTAATTAATTGTCAGAAACTCATGAACTCTTTCTCTCTGAATCATTTCTCTGGGGAAAATGTAAGATTATTAAATGATAACCATCATCCAATGAGTCTTTAATTAACTATATAAGGATGACTGATACCTAAAACAGAGAAATAATATTTCAACATATTTTTTGTGTTACTTTGCATAAGGCAGGAGTGTGTGAAATTAAAATTGGGAATGTATTGCCCGTATCCGTTTTTGTACGTCATGCATAGTGCAGTGTGTGTATTCACCCAAAATGTAATTGCAGGTTATATTAAATAATCATCTTGAACGCAGATATATTAGATCACAGGCATGGCCAAATTCAAGTAACTTACCCAGAATCTGAATGAACAAACACATTGCATCCAGCTGTGTCGGGAACTTCACGATCGTTGAACGTGTGGGGTACATGTACCGGTGGAACTTGCTCGGAACTTGTTTCCTCGTTGTTTATCGTGTCGGAAAGATGACGATTGGCCTGTGAGTGTGAATAATTGTGGTCTTCCAGGACGCACTTCCATCGGGATTTTAAGACCTCCGAGTTTTTTGTGTATTTGTTATTTTGCTTTGAAAATCCCTGTCGTTTCCACCGCGTCATTCTTTCTGACAGACGACTGTTTACACTCGCCGCGAAATTTACGGCATGTCGCAAATACCAAACTGCATTATAGCAGATTGTTAAAAAACTCATTAAATTCTTAACCATTATTATGGTTATGTTTTATTTAAAATGAACACTCTATTTTCTTAATATTTTCTATATAAAATAAATCATGAGGTTACAGATTTTTACAACACCGTGTTCTACGGCGACCAGTTTGTGCTATCTATAACGTTGAGTAAACGTAATCCTTAACAGGCTTCTTTAACGATTTTACATGCCAGGAACGAAAAATATCAAATTCTTAAAAATTTTAGGAAAACGTTAGATATTTCGGACTATTTGGATCGTTATGACAGGGAAAAGAAACGTACCTCAAACTCTTGCCTAATTATCATCAAATTCATATTATTACTTTCTATATTCTTCCTCAATCATTGAACAAGCCAGTGCAAATCAAATGCATCGTCAGTCTGTAACTATCGCTCTGAGCGTTGTCGTTAATGTCAACATGGCCATGGTCAAGGACGAACTATTATGAAGTAACTCGTACGCAGCATTGTTAAAGTTGAAAAAGGAGACGGGCCTAATATATACGGAAAAAGTTTACTGTGACGTCACACAAAAATATGACTTTTATGTATTTCTCATAATACCAGAAAATGAAATAATTTGCAACTTTAAATTGTATTAGCATAATAAACAACAATAAAACTTATCAATGCATTAAAAAAAATTGCTAGTTAAATCCCATACAGCAGGTTATAAACAAATAACTGATCTCATTGAACTTGTCAATCATGACGTCATTTTGGTAGAAATGACGTACTTCATGTGCTGTGAGAGACAGATTGAGGAATTTTTTTAACAATGACAACTTTGTTTAATTATAAAACAAATTATCATTTACATTTGAGTGCTATTATTCATTAACTATCGAGAGAATGTGTTTAAATAATTTTGTCGTATTTTCTATGTTCAGGTTAAGTATATTTTACATCGAGGTGCCTCATTAAATCGTTCTTTCGCAAGGGCATACACTAAATAAACCTTAACAATTTTTTGAATATAGATAAAGTATATGTTCTTTAACTTGAAAAATGCTGCTGCTTTCTTTAAATCAAGACCGTGACTTTGCAAGTACATGAAATATTTGGTAAAAGTCAAACATATTTCGACTATTTACCTGAAATTTTAACTATCAAAACGCGAATTCTATTCAAAGCAGCAACACACAGAAAGTACAAAGTACACAGACACAATCAATAGCTTGAATTTTCATTTAAAATAGGGTATACCCTTGCGATATTGACATTTGTTAATGACCTACATTCAGTACACGTACTATGCATTCATCACGTGACTGTCCATCGATGGGACCAAACGTCATACAGTACAGAGTAGGTTATACTATCCTATTTGTATAAGTATTTAAGTTCTTTGGTAATAAAACAACTCAATAAAAAAAATGAATTCAGTTTTAAAAACCGTTCCCGTTTTTTGCACTTCTATTTTCCGTTGATTTATTAAGCCTTCACAGCGCTGCGTAATTACGATATTTCTTGACTTACCAGGTAATCAGCATTCGGTAAGTGTTTATAAGTTTATTTATTTATTTATTGTTTTGAAAATTTATGTTGAACTCTTTCGAATTTCATCTCCATTACGTTCCTTCGCGGTATAAAGTATTCCTAAGCCGTACAGAAATAGCTTAAAGGATTGTATGAAGCCTCAAAGAGAAGTAATTTAAATAATTTTTAAAAATTCGTACTGGTAATTTGAATTATTAGAATTAAACATTTAATTAACACTAATTAAACAACACTCTTGACATTTTTTTGCACAAACTTAATATTAGAGTGCTTCGCACTTTTATTTAGATGGTAAGTTAAATGTCAAGAGTTTTCACATCGCAAAATTTTTCAAAATTCTGTTCTTAATATTCCTATAATAAAACAGAATGATGTGTCAGACTCTGTGATATCGTTTACTTCAAGTTCACTACATATATCGTATCGACATAAGGTCACAACAAGAGTTTCCTAAATACAAAAACTAGGTCTGCAAAAATTGGTACCCATGGGAATTTCAGTAGATTGAATGAAGATCTGGTCTCCAAAATACATGGATATTGTCAATCTTTGAATTGTGCCAGCTCTTTTAACAAAATGGACGTTGATCTCTTCGGTGTGTCTATTACGTTTTACATGTATATCTATTTGTTTTTGTTATTGAAAACAATGTATAGATATAAATACCAAATAGACTATATGTGTCTATTTAGTCATTTTCATTTTTTAAAAATAATTTTATTAAATTAATTGACACTTTAATATACACTCGTGATTTAACTTCATATCTATACTACAATGTCGGCATATGTTTATGAAACTTGACATGTACATTAACATTGTAATTCCATATCATAATTACTTGTAAAGGGTCCAAAGCCAGATTGGCGAACATGGTACTTAGAACACCTGGAGGATATTTCTGAAACACAATTATACGTACATAAATTAGTATTTTTATGGTATTTTTTTTTTACTTTTTTGAATTTTTGAACATTTTAACGTTAATATCAAAATTCTAATCTCGGAAACTGAGTCCCGATGAAATATGACTTTCATAATTAAGAGATTTTCATTTTTTTTTTTATTTATTTTGTAATTGAGAAAATATAATCACCAGAGATTTCTCTTTCTTTTCCTAAGTAATAAAACACGATTGTTCTCTCATCTATCATCTTCGCTAGCCAAGGGTTTTCGGTCCGCAACGTGTAAACAATCTTTTGTTCCTATGAACACTCACGTCTGTCCGTTAAAACATATATCGCTTCTTGTTGGAAATAATTTAATTTCGGTATTCCAAATGTTGTTATACACCCACTTGAAAAGCGGGAGGGTATATAGTCATCGGGATTTCCGTGCCTCCGTCTGTCCGTCCGTGTGTTATGCTTTATCTCTTATATGCAACTCCTCTTATACAATGAGGGCCGTTCAAAAATTACGCGGACTTGTTGCACAGAAAAAATATTTGACAACATAATCGGGCAAAATGTCGCATATTATATGAAATAATCTTTACTGATATGGTCATACGCTATAAATCATTGAGTCACGGAGCAGCAAAATCTTCGACGTCACAGGCATTATAAAAAGAGTTTGATTGAGCTATCATTTTCTCAACATTTTCCCAAGAGTACTTGTATAGTTTGAGTTTTTTTATCTGCTCAACATCCAAACGCCATTTCTTGTCGAGCTTAAAATCTATAAAACAAGAAAAGATTTTCTTTTTTTCATACCAAGAACTGCAGTTATTAATGATATATAGTGTAATATTGGTGACTCTCAATCACGTTCTTTACAGTCCAGATAAAGTTTCGTCGATAATCCTCTTCCCGTCCTCCCGTATAGCCTTTTTACGGAGGTCTAAACGGTCAAAAACTTAATTTTGCTATTTGTGGTTGAATGTCACGAATACCCTAGGTAGTTTACTACATGTTTTATTATGCAACTTTTGGATGTATGTTGGCGATATCTCGAACATTACACATAATTTAACAAAAGTGTGTTGCGCCGTCAATCCAGGAGACGTCGTTTTTACAGGAGTTATCATGGATATCGCACCAGCGAAAAAATACTATATTTCTGTTACTACTTCAAATATCATGTCAGAAATTTAAATACATAATAATAGAACAATTTAAAGATACATTTGAAAAAGTTGTAGAAAGACATTGCGAAATATTGAAAATTAATTAGTTAAATTTTGGATTCCGCATGCTTTTCCTTCAGTTTTTTTGTCGTGTTCCGTACCCACCTATTAGCGATATTAACATACCGATAATTTTCGTAGAATTTTTTAAAATACAGAAATTTTGCTCAAAATTTATAAGAATTTTTAGGATACATATTTTTGTGAAATTTCATAACTATATGACGTCTGTAAGAGTAAATAATAGCACAGTCCGCGTAATTTTTGAACGGCCCTCGTATTGAGTAAAATTTAATGAAACTTTCACAGAATCTTTATTACATATTGCCATTGTGACCTCGTATTTTACATTTTTATTTGCACGAATTTTAGGTTTCCCATAGCAAAACATGGACATTGCCATTATATGTTTACCTATGACGTCACATACAGAAGCTTCCAGATAACGTTTGATTGGACGATTTATTCCTCTTTACACATTACCGTAAAACAATAGCAACACATCGACATTATGGAAGGCGGGAGGGTCTCATATAGTGAGCTCATTGCTCACAGTACCTCTAGTTTCCATGGAACTCGCCATATTGTGTATAATTTTCTACCGAAACATATATTTCATTGGCAGTTTGCTTCAACCAGAATAATCGTTCTTTCTGAAGAATTAAAAAAATGGCGCTATGTGTGACCGGCATTTTACAGTGCATATCAACTCAGGGTTTATGAGGAGCGTTGCGGACCAATAAACCCTTGGCTAGCGAAGATGCTCATCTATATATGTAAAGAGGGTTGTTTTACCGGAGTTCTAATTTTGGCTTATTTGAGCATTATGGTGGTAGACTGCTAAAATTTTAATGCCTAAAATATTCACTACTCCTCTCAGTGTTTATCTGCAAAAAGCTGAATTTTTTCCGCTTAAATAAATTGCGCCAAAATATTGGCATATCTTAATGCAGGCAAAACGCCGAATTTTACACACGCTTAGAAAACCTGATCAACGTTTTATCGATTTTTGAATTTAAGGTATTTCAAAAAATGTACATTTCTGATTTTATTTGTTTATTAAAAAATTATATGATACTTGGTTTTCTTGTTTTATGTGCCTGCACTGCCTATATTACTGAATCTACATTCAACGTACGTTTTACCAGGAAATTTAAATATATTGAAATATTTCTTTTTAAATTTCTTTTTAAATCTATTGATGCCGATTAATTTTGAATATATCCCTTCGTATAGAAAAATTTTTAAGCTTTATAGTGCAAACCAAGGTAAAAGGAAGTTCAAATACTGAGAAAAATTAAATTTAGAGAAAAAAAATGTCCATACCTGTACATTATATTTTAGCCCG